TGTAAGATTTCTACGCTCAGTAGACTGGAACCGCACTAGCTCCTATATTTGCTTGAAAGTCCTTAATATGAAATTAGTTGTTTATACAAGCTTTTTGAAACTGTAAACGAGAACCATTTACTTTAAGAGCTCCGAATCCCTCTTAACTTTGATAAGGACGGCTATTTGTCATATGCGTTAGTGAAGATCTGCTCAACAGGATTGCATTACCGGATTAACACATTGCGTACCGAGTGCATCACATGGTGATGCACGCATATACTTGCCCGCGTGGCCACGTGCATCACATGGTGATGCATCAGATTCAAACTCAAATTTCTATTTTCTTTATGAAGCAAAACTGATCAAAAACTGTGGTCATATGTTTTCGAATATGCTGAATAACATATCTGCCTGGGACTTCACCAGCTGAGAAAATATGACGTGATCAGACACCATCTTTCGTAAACAAATCTCACCTTGACAACAACTTTTATTGTAATATTTCTCCTGTACTCTTCTTGTAACAAATTGATAACAATCATAGGAATTGTACTAAAGTTAAAACCATTAGGAGCTCCCGAAACATCATCATTTTCTGTTTCTTCATCACTTTCAGTAAGCAATTGTACGAATGAGCTCTCCAACCTTCCATCTGGAACACTACCAGAATCGAAACCGAAACTTGACTGGATTCAACGTAGCTTTCGGCAAATGAGACAAATGGTCTGCTTTTCATTGCCTAGATTGTATCACGCTATAGCAAGAAGTGTACGAGATGAGTGGTATTGAAAATCAAATAGTTGTCAAGAAGATGGTGTGACCAACAGAATTTTACTTCAGATTACGAAGTACTAGGCAGATACAATATGTTGTTCTCCATGTGCGAAAACATATCATAATAGATTTTGACTCCAAAAAGGAGAAAATTCACATTGTTGAGAAAAAAAAAGACTGTTCCCTGTGGCCAAGTGCATCACATGGTGATGCATGCCGCGGGCCGAAAAAAATCGCTTGGCCACGCGCGCGGGAAAACGGCAGAGAGCGCCGGTACGTTACGTGTTAAGATCGGCTAGACATAGATGTGGGCGGGTTATAGCTTGCACAGAAAAGTAAAGCCAGAGACGACTAGAAATAATAGCCAACCTGCTCAGACCGGTTAATTTTGCAGATAGCTCTTACAAAACGAACTCGAAGGGATTCTTTGACATAAAAAGAAAACAGAATTGCGATGGGACTGTGAAGCATCGAGTGATTATTTCTCAGAAAAGAGGAAACAGTGAGACCTGATGGTTTGTCAAAGTGTAACGGCGCTGGTTTGTCGAAAAACGGAAAGTGCTGAGTGCCTCAAAGGCAAAGTCCGAGCTCAAACACGCTGAACTATTCGCTCATGTGGATAGAGGTGGCAGTTCGCCTGCAGAGATCGCGCCCCGAAGACACTAGGCGCTGAGGCTTTGATCAAATCTCCCAAAAGGAATCAATGTCCGCCCACCGTTCGATATCTTATCTGCGAAATATGTTGATCTGCTATGCTCTCTCTTCTCGGACTTCTCTACCCTCTCCGCGCTCACATTATCTCTCATCTCCCTGCCTGCCTCTTAGATTTTTCCGCAGCGCAGTGAAATAAGGTACCCTCACCTTCAAATGACCAGAAATTGTGCAATTGCAGAAATTGACGTGGCACTGGCGGTTACGGGCAGTGGTCAACCAAAGCGTGAGAGTCCAGACAGAAAAGCACATACTTTCTGCTTTTCTAGGACTAAGCCTTTTGAAGGAAGGAAAGAAAGCAGAGATGCTGTAATAGTGTGCATATGCGAGAGTCCCAGAGAACACTACAAGACGCTGTATCACCAAGCTC